TTTACAAATAACAATGTGATTGGATAATATACTCTATACAATAAATTTGTTAGATTTGACATCTGGCCTGGGCATTTGACATTCATTGGATAATTAACATCCAATATTTAAATTCTGTGCTACTTCTAGGTTCTTATTCTTTTATTTTCTTTAGGTTGGCCCTAGCTACATTAAATTTTGGCAATGCATATATTTTTTTAATTTTGATTAGTCTTTTAAAAATCATAATATCATTTACTATTTCATATAATTCTTTTCTATTTCATGTATTATTTGTATCACTATGTCATTGGAGGAAAAGAAGCACCAAAGAATGTTAGGGGTTATAAAGAAATCAGTTTCTTCAAGCCCATGGAGTCATTCAACAAAACTAAATCTTATACTAATTAATGGACCAAGAAGAAATTAAGTTGGGAGACATACTTTTAGGGATCTTCTAGTATAACATAAATTAAATGTTAGCATAATATTTTTTCTAAATATGCCTCCATGAACACACAATTATATTTCTAACTTTCCTCACATGGTGGTTATATCAAAAGAGAAAATTTAGACCAACTTGCTATGTAAGTTGCAAAGCACCCTTTAATTTTTATTAATTATATTATAATTAATACCAGCCAGTAAATACCCCACCTTTAGAAGATATTTGAATATATAGGTTGATATGCTATTGAAGTATGATCTTTAGAAAATTATCTTTTCCTTTAGAAATAAATCTATTTTTTAAAAGATTTTATTTATTTTGCATAGAAGTTGAAGAACTGGGGTGTAGCCCAGAGGTTCAGAGGGTGAGAGAATTCACCAGAGACAGTGTGGGGAACAGAACAGGTAGATTTACTGAAATACACTGCTAAGGGGAGCAGTGGGTAAAAAAGAGAGGTCTGCTGTGCCTGTGGGTTAGCTTCCTGGCTGGGAATTGAACTCAGGCCATTGTGGAGGGCAGGATGGCCAGAGGGGCCATCACAATGGTAGCACTGATACTTAAGCCCTATGCCACCAGGGAGGCCCCAAAGCCAATTCATTTCTACAGAGAAAACCAAGTCATGGTAATTAAGACCAGACTTTGAGAAAAAAAATAGATATGTCACTGCTTTCAAAGTGATAAGGACATATTTTAATTGTACTAAAGTACAACTAGAATCTTCATCCTTGACATTATGTGCATGCAAAGTAGTAGAAATGTCTATTATTGTCCTTGTTTTTAAACACAAATAAGATTACACTATCTGCTTAGAAATTCTAAATAAAGAGCTATTCCCCCTTTTTATACATTATTTTTCATTATATCCATCATAGTCTAATTCACCAGGCACCTGTTAATAAACACTCAGTCACTTTCCACTCCTTTACATGGGAGTTATAAATGCCATTGTAAACAGTGTTGTACACGTTTTTGTGCACATGCCACTATGTCCCTGGGCTGACTTTCCAAACTAGGATTGCTCAGTCAAAGGGCACATGCCCTTGAATATTTATATAAATTATCTAAGTACCCTCCATTAGCATTCTACTTTAGAAATTGTGTCATCTTGCAATGTGAAAAATGCTCTCTCAAGTTAAATTTAATTGATATTACACATATAATGGCTCAAATTAGTATCACATTTATATGTTGAGACATTTGCACTTCGTTTTTGCAAGTTTTCTGATATTCTCTATCTTTTTTATTGGATTTTAATTCTATTTATTGCCATTTCCAAGAGCATTTTATTTATTGTACAGTTGTTCACTTTTGACAGTAAGTTCATTTTTTCCTCCTTTTTTTATTACTTGTTTCTGATTTCTGTCTATTGTGGTTTGTTGCCAGGCAGAATTTGTGTTTATTTTAGTTTTGATGTTGTCATAGGTAGAAATTAAATTTATTTAATAAATAATTAAAGTATTTTATGTGTTTTTTTCTTTTACTACTGGTTGATGCTATTTTAAAAATTTTCATAGTTCAGTGAAAAGAAAGATGAACCCTACCAAATTATATACAAAGAAAAATATGATAAAGTGGAGGGAAGTTAAGAGTATATAAATCTGTATCAGTTATGAAATCTGACAAAATCAGTAGTGCTATACCCACTACATATATAAATAATACTATTATGCACTTTACACCAAATATTCACTTAGTTAATAAAATTCTTTGCAGTTGATTTTTTCCTTATATAATTCTAGTAAAGGTAGCTTTACTCTGATGTTCTTAGAGAACATGTGCATATACATTTTTAAACCTTCAGTGAATGTACTGATTTAATTAATACAAGGTTTGATATCTGTTTACATTTTAGGATCTAGAATTTTCTGTTTAACATTCACCAAATTAAGATATAAATGTGATAAAAAAAATACCTAGGTTTGCTGAATCAGAGTTTATTCTAACATAAGAGTTTATGGTAGCATTAGACTAATTGCTCTGACAAAGAAATGTGTGCCAAACAGAATTCTGAGAATATATCTCTGTTGGTAAGAATTCAGTGTAAGTTCCTAAATTTACTTAATAGAATGCTAGCCTTGCTTTATGTATTTTGGCATATCTTACCATTGGCTTTTTCTTCAATTACCAGCATAGTATGTACATTTCTGAGTTTATGTGTTCAGACATCTTAAAATACTAGCTCTGTTTCCAACTGTGACATATTGCTTTAGGGTAAATCCTTGCATAAAAAATAACCATTACAGAGAAAAGTAGTAACAAATCTAAAAGTAGTTACCATTTACTGAGAAAATACAAATGTCAGGTTTCTTATTTTATCTCTATTGTCGCAACAATCTTAAAAGCTCTTCAAATAATAAAACAGACCTAGAAATAGTAAATGCCTTTCCTATTTTAATATTAGTGTATCATAGAGATGGGATTCAAATCCAGCCTATTCTGACCCTAAAATTACTTTATATTTCTCCCTGAGTTCCTCAGAAAATTTTCAGAGAAGGTAATAATGGATCTGCAGCCCAGGATGAAGCACTATTTCACTATATTCTTAGTTAATAATAACCTCATGGCACAAGGTAGTTAAGTCAGAGAAATAACTATGGAGTAGGAAAGTAGCTGGGAAGAAGAGTTACACATTCTTCCTTTCTTCTTTGATTCACTTTTATTAGCTGACCCTAACTATTGATATAAAGTATCTAATCAGGGAACCCATATGAATCCATCCACAGGTGTGAGCCTCCTAACATATGTGGAGGGTCAAAGTTAGACTTAGAACATTTTGGGATAGTGTATGGCATATATGGAGAGTCAAATGAAGTATAACTAGTATACTAGTTCAACTAGAATCAAAGTATAACCTTTGCTACTGATAGCAAAAACATGTCTCAAAATATTTTTCAGATTGCATTATCCATTAAGAAAGTCTTAATTGGAACATCAATTCCAAAGAATACCTGCACCCTTATGTTTATAGCAGCACTATTTACAATAGCTAAGCTTTGGAAACAGCCCAAATGCCCAAAAATAGATGACTGGATCAAGAAGATGTGGTACATATATACCATGGAATATTACTCAGCATTCAAAAAAGATAAACACATGCAATTTGCAGCAACATGGATGGCGCTGGAAGGGATCATGCTCAGCGAAATAAGCCAGAAAGAAAAAGAAAAATACCATATGGTCTCACTCATAGCAGGAATCTAGATAAGTTAAATAAGGGACCAGGAAAATGAATAACTATAAGAAAGTGAAAATCAAAATCAACAAAAAACTATGAACCAGAGACACTTTTTGGGGGGTGGGGGGGCGGGAGGGGAGGGATTGGGGTCAGAATGGGGGGTTGAAATTGTATGGGGAATATAAAAATAAAATTTATTATTTAAAAAAAAAAAAAAAGAAAGTCTTAATTGGGCCTCCCCTGATGGCGCAGCGGTTGAGCGCTGGGCTGGGAAGCTGCCCGCAGCCTCTGCAGCACCAGTTCCATCCCCGGCCACCAGCGAGGGTCCCACATGGCGTGGCAGACCTCTCCTGTCTCACCCACTGCTCCCCTCAGCAGTGTATTTCATCAGTCTGCCTGTTCTGATCCCCGCTCTGGCTCTGGTGAATTCTCTCACTTCTGACTGTACCCAGTGCTTGTATAAATAAATAAATAAATCTTTAAAAAAAAAAAAAGAAAGAAAGAAAGTCCTAATGTTTATTCCTTTATCCAACAGTGATAATACAGTTATCTAATTTGTCTCCTAACAGATTATTCTCAAGTTGTTTGGTTTATTTCCTCTTTTAATTGACTTGTTTCATGGTGCACTGAGTCTAAAAGATGATATAAGTTCCACTTAAAAAATGCAGAGTACAAAGAAAAAGTGGTAATTATATAAAATAAAAACAAAATAAAAATATGAAATTATATAAATAATAAAAAACTAATGCAAATATAAAACTTAATAAACAATTATTTTCACAGAACACACAATGTTATTTTAGTCAAAGCTTCAAAATGAGTATTTTTGTGATTATTAGAAAATCAATAATAATTATATTTTAATACTGGCAAAGTAGTTATCATTATCTTCCTTTTCTTTAAACTGAGTATATTTAATAAATCTCATTTAAATAAAACCACTAGATGATAGCATGTTAACTTGGTTATACTAGCCTTGAGAAAGGAAATACAAAAGCAAACTATAGACTGCCAAAGATAAAGTAGTAACTTCACTTGTTTTTACTAATGAAATAGAGACCCAGAAAAGTTGTATTACTTTCTCCAGTGTCAAATTTAAGATTAGAACCCATTCTGACGGTTATTTGTTACTTTGTCTTTAACTCCAACAATTACTGCTGTGTAAAGGTACTTTATAACTGGTTCCACAAAAATAATTCTAAACCAAGGTTCCATAGCATTAACAGACATCTCAGAACTGAGTGCTCTTATAGTTTACTGTGACAGGAGCCTATAATGCTTGTTGGATTTTTCAGGAGAGCAAACTAAAACTGGTCTTCAAACCATAATAAAGTGTTTGGTTTTATCCTGATGGGTTCCAAATTGTGTAGTAATCAGATGATCATTTTTGTATTTTAGAATGCTCATTTTGGCTGTTTTATGAAGAAGTGATTCAGTACAGCAAGGCCAGAGGTGGTGATTTTGGACAGGAGAAAATGAATGTTCATAGGGTTGGAAAGAAGATAAAAGAATACATCATATTCAAGAAAAATTAGTTAGTGCATAGAATCAACATAACTCGTTAGTTAGTAGAGGAGAGGACTGAAAGAAAATGAGGAAAGTATAACTCCCAAGTTTCTGGATTATAAATCAAGTTATGAGTCACTGAGATTGGAAATGTACTGGTATCTGTAGGAATGAACTGAAGGTGGAAAATTCCATTCTGGACATGATGAAATGTACAGAGTCTATGCAGACTATTTACGCAGACATAGGTTTTGAGATAAAGAATTTTCAATCATTTCACACCTGACCCTAAAAATATGGATGCTTTCAGAAAATCCTTGAGAATACTGAAGTTGTAAATAATATGGAATGTATATGTGTATGTGTATTTCCAGGAAAGAGTTGGTTAATTTTCAGCTGTTTCTCATTGAATTCTGTAGTCCATCAGTGCTTTCTGAAGTCTTGCAAAGGAATGAAATCATGTAATTCTGGGGAAATTTGATAGTGCATATATTTTTAACTAATATTTTTTGCATATTGAGAGACATTTTATGAAACCACTGAATTGATGAGCCAATGTGAAGTTTAATAAAAAGGAACATGTATGATATACTTTTAATTCTGATATAAATATTAAATATGTGGCCTCCAAGACACAAATGTTAGAGTACTCTAGAAAGGAGAAAATTCCTTTTTTTTGATACAAGAGCTCTTTTAAAAGAAGATTCAAAATTATTAAGCTTTTCCAAATGTAGCCCATCCATATGTGAGCATATCAGTAGTGTGGTGTGGGTACTACAGCGATGTGCCTCAGCTCAAACAGTGAAGTCAGTTCTAGCTTCAATCTCCTCTTCAAAATGGTGGAAAATATATTTAATTTTCCATTTTAAAAACTCATCTGGGAAATGTTCTTTATGTGATATCTTTGATGATTTTAAAAATGAACAGACTAAAATACTTTAATATTTATATTCTAGATCTTGAAAATATGTTTTGTTTCCATCATATAAAAGTATTTTTCTGGAGAATGTATATAGTGCTTGAAAAAAGAAGCATGATGTTTTAAAAAAAGATTAAAACTTTTTTATTACAAAGAAAGTGATAAAGTTTCATCTCTAACTTACACTGGGAATGGGCTAATAAAAGCAAAAGGGTTGCTGAAAGGATAACATTTTCTCATTCAAATCCTTAATCTTGGCAAATTCTTAATACAGTACGAATGCAAACACAGAACAATTGATGAAAATACCCAAGATTACAACTGACTATGGTACAGTTATCAGGATTCAAAAAGAATTTTCACTGGTCACAAGATATGGAGAGCCATAATAATCGAATGTTATCATTCAATGTCTGCTATTAGTGTGAGGACAAACTTGCTTTCCCAATCATCCTGTTTAAAGATGCCATGTTAATCATGCAAGCAAATAAGGTACTTATCCAGTCTAATGTGGAAGTCTTTTTAATAGTGCTATTACTCCCTTTGTGTGTGTGTGTGTGTGTTTATAGAAGAAAGTAAGTACACATTTATTGAGATTATTCTGCAAGTTATACAATGTGCTCATCATAAGCAATAGTGAATACCACATGGTCTCTGATTTCATAGGATTTATAATCTAATAGGGGAGACATACAAGTAAAGAAGTAATACAATAATATTTTGAATGTTTTAATATCACTAAATTTGTAAGGGTTCTAGGAGTATTATTTCAAGAAACCTCACTCTACTTTCTGGGGTTTATCACAAAGAAACCAGTATCTGTGTGTGGACTTCATGTGATGTAATGGTATAAACATTTAATGGTTTTATGTAAGATAATCACATGTGCATTTTAGAAAGCTAAGTAGCATGATAAAAATTCTTGCAACATTATTACTTCTGTTTACTGAAATGCTAGAGTTTAATTTTCAATATTGCAACCTAATTTTTCAATATTGATATAATTTTCAATACTGCAAACAACAGAAAAGGGGGGGAAGGTAGTAATTCTTAACTTCAAGATATGTGAGGTAAATGCTAGGAAAAATTCTGATTCTATTAACATTGCTACCCAGAATTTCATTTGGGATTACATTTAATAACATATTTAAGATATGTACCAAATGTATGGGAGTTGGTTACAATCAACAGATTCAAAATACATGGTCACCTAAATAAAATCCCTAAATAACTGTGCATCAAATCAAATATGTAATCTCCTCTTGCCATTCAAAAAAAAAAAAAAAGAAACTAAATTAGAGATTTTAACACAAAAGAACTTAATGTGAGAATTTAATTGAGATATCACAGAAGTAGCATTTGCAGACAGCAACTGCCATCCTTGAAGTTGGGTCATGAAAGAAAGATGACTGAAGTTATTGCAATTTAGTACTTGGTGAAGAGACACACTGAAGTCATAAATCAGGCATCTGAGGAGGACACACTGACCAGTAGGTGCTGGTTTCTCTCAGGGCCTGTGACTGGCCTAATTCTTCAAATGTTGGGGGGAAAAATAATTTAGATTCATTTGCTAGAGCTACTAGAATAAATTGCCAAAAGTTAAAAGGCTGGGCTGTGGTGAAGCTTCCAGCCCTGAAGTCTTCCTGTAGTTCTTTTGCACGCAGGCCTGCAAAACTGAAATGGATTTTGCTGTTCCAGCCTTTATGTCACATATTTACCGCTTAAATTGAAAAATGACAATTATGTTTGATGTGATTTTAAAATTTGGGCCTGTGTGCCTGAGTATATCAGAATATCAGAACTATTAGCTGTGCTTTTGTTTCAAAATCTGTCTTAAAATACATTATTTTCAAAGGAATGTATATATCAAATGTTGATTTAGATGTTATGAACAAGTAAATGTGTTCTTGAAAGCATTTCTTTCACTAATTTACTTAATCTATCTTCCATAAATGAAGTAACATTTAAATTTAGTAAACCTATCCATAAAAGTGCTCTGATTTTTGAAAAATGAAAATTTGCTTTGCTCTGTTTTTATTACAGATATATATGCGCACACACATATAGATATGCCTTGAGGTACAAGCAACACATTAGTAAAGCTGACTGAATTTTCACCTTATTTGCAAGCATGGCCATGTTTCTTGCTTTGAATGTCCTTCAGGCCTCATCAGAGCACAAAATTCCAAATGACTTCAAAGGGTTTCTGTACTCAGATCAGTTCTACGGGGCATGGAGGGAGATGAGAAATGAACCGACAACAGAAGTGCAATGAAAGGTAAAAATCCTAGCATCACCACAGCTCTTGGGCTCAGTAGCAGATTAAATTACACCTGAATATATGGATCTCATGGGCTCATGAAGGAAAAGATGGCAAGCATAAAATAAATGAGTTTATTCACTGGATTCTGGTAATGTTTCCTTCATCAAGTAGCATAGATAACATTTTTATTTTTATGGAAATCTGTCAACTTTCTTGTTTAAAGAAGGAAATACAAATGTGAATGATCAAAATTATAGTAGCTAACCCACAGTAGACATTCAATAGATGTTATTTGGTTACAAACAATTCCTAAAGTACAGTGTGCTTTTTAAAATCTTTATAATAGTGGGCCTCCCTGGTGGCACAGTGGGTTGACCACAGCTCCTGTCCGCAGCCATGGCAGACCTCTTCTGGCTTTCCACATGGCAGACCTCTCCTGTCTTGCCCACTGTTCCCCTCAGCAATGTATTTTGGTCGTCTGCCTGATCTGCTCCTGCTCTGTCTCTGGTGAATCCTCTCACCCTGCTGCTTCTGGCCTGTACCCCAGCTCTTATGTAAAAATAAATAAATCTTATAAATAAATAAATAAATAAATAAATAAATAAATAAATAAATAAAATCTTCATAGTAATAGTGGCATATGTTTTAGGGATATGGAGAAGTAAAGACAGACCTAAAAACAGGAGAAGGACTTTGTACCTATTTATACTAGCCTTTCTCCTTTTTTAATATGAAAGATTAGCCTTGAGAAAGGGAAGAAAGAATAAGTAGAAAATGAAGACTGGATTCAGATATTCTTTCCTCTGACATAAATTCTTGCAATAATGTCTTATAAGTAAACAAATATAAAAAATAATACTGTTTTTATATACATGTAAATATTCAAAAGATCATATCACAAAGTTAAGTGGTTTATAACTTTAGATAGATTATACATATACTTGATAAAAATTAGAAAGGATTGCATTTTTGAAAATTTAATTCTTCAAATAGTTTTTATTAATGTTGCTCAAACTGGAATTATTCTTTTTTAACTAGTATTTTTATTCTCTGTAGATTTACAAAATTTAAATTTACAGACATTTGAAACTTTTGTTTTTGGAAATATTCTCCCTTTCACAAATATCAATTTGAGGGGTTCTTAGTGCACATATTGATATTGCCTTATAGTTAATTGATAATGACTTGGGATTAGGAATCATCAGAAACTTCTGGAAAGCTACATAAGTACAAATATGCTTCTCTTTTTTTTTTAACTTTATGTCAAAAAGCAGCTGTTGAACACTGAACATGAGCACTACAGAGCAATCATACCTCATTTGCTTATACACCTCTGTATGCTTATATTTACCAAATTTTCTGTTGAGATATTTCTTATGGAATGTCCTTTAGAGTACTGACAATAAAAATTGAGTGAGATATATATTAAACAAAATGCATTATAATTATTGATTCTTCAGTCAGATCTAAAATTATTATAAAACAAATTCTCATGGACATAGAATATCTTTTTTTTTGGAAGATTTATTTATTTATGCATACAAGAACTGTGGTATAGGCCAGAGTTGTGGGAGGGTGAGAGTATTCACCGGAGACAGAGCAAGGAACAGAACAGGAAGACTGACTGAAATACACTGCTGAGGGGAGCAGCAGGCAAGACAGGAGAGGTCTGCTGAACCATGTGGGTCACCTCCCTGGCCGGGGATCAAACTTGTGCTGCAGTTGGTGCAGATAGCTTCATCATGCTGCGTCTTAACCCTTGCACCACCAGGGAGGCCCCAGACATATAATGTCTTAAAACAAACCATGTCTCATCAAACTTTTTCACCATCAGGAAATTTTCTCTCAGCAATTACTTTGTCCAGTTATGTCTCCTATACACTAATTCTCTCACTCCATGTTCTCAGTATCTTAAATCTTTGATTTAAGAAATTACTAGTAAATGAGATGAAATTTCATGTCAACTTCGTGAGTCATTTTAACCTCAGAAGAATCTAGAACAATCAGAAAAGGATGAATAGGATGAAATGGGGTCATTCCTCCTTGTCTTACAGAGCACCACCAGCAATATATTAGTACGAATTAAATAAAACTCATTAAAACTAAGCTAATTTATATAAAAGCCTCTGACCCTGTGGTGTCAGAATATTTAAATGACAGTGCATGACCTTATTGGCCAATAAAAGCCCTAGTTGCAGAACTCCTTTATGTAGCCAGGTGTTAATCTTTTAGTTTTGGGGCCCTGGATATGTTAGCATGGTTCCAAGGGAAAGACCGATGGTGGGGAGACGGGGTACTC